CCCCCCCCCCCCCCCCCCCCCCGAAAGTTATTTTCAGCATGATACCCAGTTCTTTCAAGGATGTTGCGCGTTGCGTGAATCTTTTCATGTGGGATGAAAATCCGTGTATAGCCGCTTTGGTTGTCCACGCGAGTAAAATTCTGTTCACAGGATTGGCCATTTCTAGACCGTCCGGGCATTTCTAAATCCGGGAATGATTTAAACATAACTTGAGAAGGGATTACTTTAGAAATGAGGCCTGTGTGGGGAATGAACTCTCTTATCCTTCTTTCTCTTTCTACGTAAGTTAATGTGATATTTCTATTGACTGAATATCAAGGTATTTGGTGGACAGAACAATGCCCCCGTCACATGACATGTTCATTTTTCTCCCTACAGAAATGAATCCCAGGATTGACGAAAGAACAGCGAAGTCCTTTAATTCGAGAGTGAAATGAGTAGAAATTAGTGATTTGAAAAAATATTTGTTAGCACAGCAATGTTTTACATCAATAAACACAATATTCTTTCGCCACAATATCCATTCAGACAAAAATAAGATATAACGACTAGCACAGTTCCAGAAGACTCAAATTAAAACCAATCCACAATGAACAATCTCGGCTCACTCTTGTTTCATTTTTTTAAATAATTACTATTCTGTACATCCATATGCCCTCGCTCCCCACTTGATTCTTGAGAGGATTACGAGAGCTGTGTGAAAATTATCTCTAGTTTACCCACATTTACTTTATTTAACAATTCATTTGTTTCGAAATCCCCTCCCACAATCCTGCCCCCTCCCCCTCCAGGCCTCCTTTCTCCACCCCCTACCTCATCGTGAATCACATACTCCGCATCAGCCCTGCACTTTTCTCTCGTCTACGTGAGCAGAAAATGACACCAGAGGGTGTCCTTCTGGGCAGTGCGCAGACACGGCAGACATGCGCTGAAATTTTTCTGCAGGCGTTTTCAGTTCCCAGACGAAACATTTTTCTCAACGCACACCGAAAAAACTTTAAGGTACAAGAAATTTACTCAAAGCAGCCAAGAGATATCGAACCTGCGCATTAAGCTAAACACGTGATCCTAGTAATCCAATAAAGGAAACAGAATTTCCTACCACTCTTATAAGTCATTATATTATCTAGTTAAATAATACTCTAGTTATCTAATTATTTTAAGACTACTTAAATCACTTGCTACATTAAAATATTTTTGGCCTTTTATATACAAAACCTATCAACAACGCTTTGAAATAACGGAGCAACAAAATTATTACTTGCAAGCCGTGGAGATGAAGGATTCCCTGTGATCAGGCACAATTTTCAGTTCTCCACGTTTTCCAAGCAGGGGATGGTTTACAAAAAAATACAAAAATAACATCGAAATACAGTCAAATGAACGCAATGTTTCAAGCATCAGCAAAGATTGTGTGACATATGTGACATAGTCACGCATCGACGTATCGATCCTCCCCACCCTACCCCTAAGAAATAATGTACAGTGTCACTGGATTACAAACAAGCTAACACTCGATAGTGAGCGAGGGGTTGAGTAATCTGAGGTCAGATGTGTTACGTATCCGCTTGCAGCCATACAAGTGAAGTGTGGTTAGCCTGAAAAGAGAAAGAAAGAGAGGTAAGGCCAATATTGCAAACTGTTGAATGTTATAGCTACAGCAGAAGAGATGCAAGGGGAAGGGGTGGGGAGATTATGAAGAATCGTTGGGAACAGGTTTTACAAACCTATCGCGTATTGGTGGAACTGGTTCTCGAGGCACAAAGTGTACGAGGCACTGTACCTTCGATACAGTCAAACCTTTATACAAACAGCAAAGAAGTACGACACAGTGTTCGAGTTCCAGAGTCAGTTTCAGTCAGTCAGTTTTAGTATCGCACACTATTTACAGTAAAACAACTTAACGTAAGATGGTTTACGCTGAGGTAAAGATTGTATGAATTTTGATTCCTTGGTAACAAGAAAACTGTCCGTAACAAGGTGTCCGTATTACGGAAGCATCCGCAGGGAAAGGTTCGAATTTACCTGGAAATCGGACATTTAGCGAGAAGCTGTGATGTGAATTTAGAACTGGTATGGGCAATTTGTAGGAACTAGTATGGACAATTAAACGAGTTAGCTCTACTATATTCCACTGAGAATCCTGGGCTCTTTTTAGAACGCTTGTGGCCATTTGATGGTAAGCAAAGAATCTTAAACAGTTTGAAAACTTGCCGGGGCGGAACAAAATAAAGAAACTAGCCTTCGTTCTAGAGTTCGCTACTTATTTGCAATGATTGGAGGAACTACCCGTTCTAGAACTTCACTCGACAGTAAGACGAAAGAAAAACGAAAATATAAAACTGATGAGGAGTGCCTTGTGATGAAATAAAAATATACTTACCTTTTGCAGCGTTTAGCGAGATGAACCACCGTGTTTTCAGAAATGTCTGTACAGAAACTTAGCTTCAAATTACACAAACTCTGACTACAGTAGTTAGCAAGAGACAAGACGCTGAAAAGAAAAAACCGCGCAAGTAAATTTATGTTACAGAGATCACCTGCGCATGAATTGCGCCAACATTGCGTACCGTTATCACGCGCGTTCCACATGGGGCGCGCGTGTATTTTAGAAAAGATAGATGGAAAAATACTGGTCGCTTTAGAAGGTTCCTGTTCGCGACTTGGAAAAAAGAACTAGAACAGGAGAAGCAAGGTAAACCCGAGCGGGCAATCCCGAGCAGGAACTTGCCAGCTCACAGAGCAGCACAGGAGGTCTTGGCGAAAGAACAAGTAGGGATGAATGTGACTTAACATCGTTACTTTTGCTCCAACGAAGGACCAACGCTCGAAACATCAGGTTTTCCTAACTCGCAACGGTGGTTAATTTGCCTAACGTTAAAACACTTGTAACTAACCTCTTGTGACCAACTCCAGTAGACGTCAGGTCTAACAATTCCAGTCTATGGCAGCTTTTGGACAGTGTACAGATACCATTATCACTCACATTAGAACAGCCGCATATATCCAGAGACCTGTTGGGCAATACCATAAATAACTAAAAAATAGTACAGGGCAATGCAGGAGGAAAGGAGCTACTGTAGCAAACGTTTCTTGAGGGTTGAGAGTCTTACCTTATTCTTGGAAGATTGTTGGCAATTTCTGCTAAAGACACATCCGTGATCAGAGGACAGTTAGCGAGCGCAAGAGTAGTGACAAGTGGACAGTGACGCACGATCTTTTTGACAGCTGAATCACGAACCTAGGATTTAATGAATCTGATCAAGAACTGACTTCCCCTGACGATCTCAATATAAACTGGAGCCATAATCGATTATATCTCCTGATATAAAGTAAAGCGCACAGGTAATGAGAAAGAAATTCATGTGACCTCAGCACAATGTTTGTGCAGCTCATTCAACGGCCTGAGATACGAGGTTCACTAAATGTCTTAGTGCCGTCAATTGCTCTAACAAAAAATTGGGATCTCGAGGACAATTGCTTATCTTCATGAAATTAGTACAGTTTCAAAAAACTTCGCGTTGTCAAAGTCGAGTTAATTTAATAAAACATTAATTTTTAAGCGCCGTTCACAAAGCGGCGTCTTAAAATTTCGCTACATTAACATGTATTATTTCGATCCTAAATAGTAATTGGCAGGAAAAAAGAGCTTTCTCCGTCTGGCTCATTGCATTTCCCATTACTCCTTATTCTTTAGACTTGCTAAGAAAGCTGAGCGCGGCGCGAGAAAAAAGAGTCCGCGATGTTCAAAACCCGAGTGCGACGGGCGGCAGGGGGAGTAGTTGTAACCTTGTCCTTCACGCCGGGACTACGTACGACAAAGAAGGACTTTGAGAAAGCCTACTTGTAATGTTGTTAGTCATTTCTTTGCATCTCGCCTACCCAGCGATCCGATATTGCACTGGTTTGCTTGATGTGAATTTGTTCCCCTTTTTCCCATCAAATGTGTTTTCCTTTTTGCCCCTCGTGCTAACTTCCTTGTTAACGTAATTTTACTATCTCATCACTTCGTGTTTCTCTACTTTAAGGTGATGTTGTAAACACGAGCCAATTTTTAACGCAACATTGTTGCGTTCAAAATCGATGTCGTGTAACATGGCGCACTAGGCGACTTTTAACGCAACATCTCGTTGCGGCAACATGTTGCAAGTTTTTGAAAGCGATTCAAAAACCTGCAACATTGTTGCCCGAATTGTGCATGAACAACATACCGTTGCCGACCGTCGCCGCAACAAGGTTGCTTCAAAAGTTCTCTCGTGTAACATGGATTAACAATCGGTATTAAAAATCGGTCCGTGTAACATAACCTTTTTTAAACGATTTTGCCCTTCGTTGAGAGAAGCTAATAAACGTAAGCGTTACTAAAATGGTGAATTATCATACCTGCTTGCATCCTCGCAGATCAAGATTCTCCAGCTCTTGGAGATTAGATACTAAGGAACCAATGGCTGAGTCAGTGATCTGTAATGGAAAAAAAAACAAGTCAGTCAATAATTAGACCGCAATTTCAAGTTCTCCTAAAAACAAATAAGGATTAAAACCCTCAGTAAAGGCTTGTTTGCACTGGGGGATTAAAGTATGAAACAAACCCGATGCAGTCAGGTGGGGTTACTCTCTAAGCAGCGCCTTTTGTTAGGCAATTTTTCTAGCGAGAGGCCAGTTATCTACAAATTACTCTTCTGTGACAGTTGCTCTTGATTATGATAAGACTCTAGTGAAAATAATGTAGCACGAAAAAAGAGATTTGAGTGTTATAACTTCGTGCCAATTCTCTCACAGTGGTGCATGTAGTATCAAAGTAGACTGTGAAAAATATCATGTTATTTCTTTTATTGTTCGCCATGGAGCCATTTCCACATTTGAAAACGGGAACATAGACAATACCCTTTTGAATATCAATGTACAGTCTACGTACAGTACCTTGTAACACTGTCCAATGTTCAGAGTTTGAAGCTGTCTGCAGGTCTGACCAAGAATTCGTATTCCGGCTGGAGTGATGTTAAAGCAACCAAACACTTCAAAGATCCTCAGCCTGAAGAGCAAAACATTTGTACATGATACATGTATGTACTGTAGGCACAGGTTGTACAACAATGTAGGACGTTTCTACTCAAAGTCGTTTCATACGAATCAAAGTCTATTCACGTTTCGTTGCTTAAGTAAACTCGAGGAAAGTTTTCAATTAACGTGTTTTTGTCTTTGCATTATGATCACAGTGATTTCTTGTTCACTAATTATATAAACTGTTTGTACAGCAACGTTCACGCATTAACGCATCCGACAGAACAGTAGATACTGTGAGAAAACGTTCGGTTTTAAGAGCTATTTTACACATAAAACTTATTGAATTCAGTAAAAGATTTTTGATGGAGGAAAAAAAGTCTGAAGTCCTAACAATATGAGGAGCGAAGGACGGGAAAAATTGCTTTACGAAACATTTCCTGGTAAATAGAAGTTGCATGAAATAGACTGTGGATGCGTATCGAATCGACGTACGACATGTAACGAATCGACTTCGATTTGCATCGAAACGACCGGACACCTAGGCACACTACTTAAAATGAGTGGAAAAACAAAGATAACGGGCAAGAAAACTCAAATTCAAGTACTACGCTTGTCATGTTAATTAAAGTTATCACACAGCCTTAAGAAGTTTGTATAGTCTGATCGTCCGGTTGAGGTTAGTTCTGAAAAGAACTGTTGTTGGTGACTGATGTTTCCGCAGCCTGAGCGGAAGTCATCTTCAGAGTCTGAAAAGATGGCTTCCGCTCAGGCTGTCGAAACATCAGTCACCAACTACAGTTGAACCTCTAATACTCAAACCATGTACCGTGCCCAGCATTATGTAATTTATACCAACCCCTACTAGGTTGAGAAAATCAATGTTAGAGGAAAGTGTCTTGGACTAGACAAAGCACAATGGTCCCCATGGCAACAATAGCACACCATACTTCAGCCACCACACTCTTACACATACATGTATGGGTAGACTGCAACAAAGAAACATTTAGGGTGCGTTCTGTTAGGGTGATCTGGATCAGGATCAGTGATCCAAGATCACTCGGATCATGGTGCATCAAAGGAACCGGTGAATCCTCTCTGGTCACGGATTCATTCATCAGTCCTTTGATGCACTACATGTATGATCCGAGTGATCCTGGATCACTGATCCTGATCCAGGTCATCCCAAAGGAATGCACCCTTACAGTAGGTGTGGACATGTAAGATAAATCACACCATGAAACTTACGTTTTGCCATGTTTGTTTGCCACGCACTTGATAGATTGATCACTGACAGCTTGACAGCCATTCAAACAAAGACATTCCAATCTACAGGTAAACAGAATTTCACCAATTCATTAATTTAAGAAACTTTTGTTTGTGGCAAATTTGTTAACATTTTATCCTACCCCTTGATTACCGTGCTTGTCACAATCATGCTGACCAACGTTCAATCCCAACCAATGATTGCCGTCTTTTACAGTAAAGATAGACGTTAGCAGTACTTTTAACACTGACAACTTTTTTTCAACATTGCATGTTACTTGAAACATACAAAATTCCTTACTATAGACTGTTATTTCCAAAGCATGTTCAACGACCAAATGGTAGCAGAATGAAGTTTAAAATTACATACTTTATACAGTATGTTCCTTTGAACTAGAGCAGTTATATGAGTAAAGCCAGGGATGAAGAACTAGACCTTACCTCTTCACATTGTCAACAAGAGCTTGGACTCCATTATCACTGACGTTACTCCAGCTCGCATCAACAGACTTCAACCAACAGCATCGTGCCACAACATGTAGCAGTACAGACTCACCAATCAATTCACCCCCACGACATCTACTGAAATTCAGCTCCTGGGGTTAAAAATATGAAAAACACCAAACCACACATTTCAATTCACTTTAAGTGAAGAGTCACAAAGGTGAAGCATTCCACATAAAATAATTCTTTGATTCATGCCTGAATGTTCAACTGAACACAATCATAGTCCATGCTATTTTGGAGTTTGAGGAACATGTTAATTATAATATGGCTAAGTTACATTGTACATGTAGCTCAGGGCGTCAAAAACTAAAATCAACCAATCAGATTGCTCTTCTAAAGAAGAATATTGGGCCTTGGTCTTTTTTGTATAGACTTTACTGTCAAGACCTTGGGCCAATGTTCTCACAGCACAACCTTTGTGCTCAGTTAATACGATACATTGTACATGTACATGTATATAGAATGTGTATATTTAACTTCAAACAAATTCAACCATTTTTGTATTTTAATCTCAGTTCAAAGTCATTTACAGTGTCCACAGTAAGCTCAACAGTGTAAATGTAATTGTGCAGAAAATATCCATTCCTCTGTTACTCCCCCATCCNTTATCCTCAATTGTGTAGTTCCAGAAAATATCCATACCTCCCCCACGGAAGGGTTTTTACTAACACCTCCCCACCCCTCTGGAAATTCCAGTTTCATACATTTCTTTAAATTTTTTGGTCGTACAGAACCCTCACACTCAAGAAATTCCATTCCCTTCTTTGGGGGAAGTATAGATACATGTATTTTCTTCTGTAACAACACATTACACTTCAAGCCCACTAGTGTTATTCTTGCTAAGTTGTAAGCTTTAGAATACCAGTCATGGAAATGCTATTATACATAGCCAAAATTCTCCCTGAAATATCCATACCCACCCCAAGGAATGCCATGGGAAATTCCAAGGGTATTTAAGGAAAAGTATAATGCTAAACTGGAATTTCTAAAGGGGTGGAATATTTTCTGGAACCACACAATGTAGAAAACTATGAAAATGTAGAGAGTGAGATTACAGTGAAACAATCAACAAGTGCAAGTACCTCTAAGGAATCACTACAATTCCTGAACAAATCTCGGAGGCCTTTGGCTGTAACTTTGTCACCATGACATTGGGAAATGGTCAAACTCATTGGACGATGCATGCCAATTGCATGCAACCATTCATCTGTTATGTTATTGTTCTGTTTTAACACAATAACTTTCCCTGCAAAATAGAGACATTTCTCAATAAATATTACTTACAATACAAAATAAAATACCCATGATGAGTCCCCAACAGCACCACAATGTACGGGATACGTGCAGCTGTCATGGAAACCTCCTTTTAGTTGAAAGCTTGTCAACTACATGTACCTCTAAAATATCATTTGGGATCAACTTTGACTGCTTCTTTTCGAGAAAATTTTAGGGATTTAAAGGGAAGTCTGGAAGAGAGCATGGATCGTTGGTGAGTTACTGGAGAGTAATATATGTTACACTTTGTACATTGTTGAGTTCTGCACTTCGTGTTTTATTGGTTGCACTAAGAAAAAAAACATACCTGGGGAGTTCGCTGTGGAGACCACAATGGAAATTCCTTATAATTTTTGAGTGAGATTTGGATTTAAAACACTTACACAAAGATTCATCCATTGAGATTCGATGAAACTGCCACGAGACCCTTAAACAGGACACCAAGTCTTTGTGCGGTAAAAAAGAAAATATCAGCAACAAGAGCTCATCAGGAAGGTATAGGTATGGCACCGGATCACTGTCTCGCTGAGAACGAATCTGTGCAAGAGAACAACATTTTGTTATTGCATGCAATTCTGCAAACAAACCCAAAATACTAAACAAATTACAAATTTAATACATTCACATGTAGTCACATGCAATTGTGGCAGGCACGTGGGTCTTGCACTTAACATGTAACCTTCTGCATATGCATATTTAATGAACTGTCGCATGTAAATCTTGCAATCTCAACTGATAAAGGCTTCTAAATAACTGCTCGTTGAAATGTCTTAAAATTAACATCTGAAAGACAATCTGCCTTAAACCACTAATTTACAATGTACAATGTCATCTCCTGACTACAACAACTCAATTTCTAAGAACATGCACATGCATGCTTGTAAGTAAGGAAGGGGAGCTTTGCTAAAGATGTCATACAAGCCATCATACATTTATGTAACAGCCATGCATGATAACTGCATGTAAGTACATTTGTTTCTGAAATAAGAAGAGTAAAATCTTGTCATGTGTAGTTAGTATATAGTAGACAACGTGGAATCCTGTTGCCTTCATTAATTGTACAATTTCATGAGAAAACAAGAAGGAATGTAGATATATAGTAGTACATGTAAATGACTGTACATTTGTACAGTTGCACTGCTTGTACAGTTTCGAAGACTTGTTATACTTGTTTAATAAGAAAACCACAAAAAAAAAAAACAACAACAACAATAACAACATGTGCAAAGTAAGACATGGTAAGGTGTAAAAAGAAAGCATGGGGCTTACATTAAATACATTGTTGATATTACATAAATAAAATAACCATAATAGTTGTACACAACTTACCAGGGTCAGAATCCTGTCATAGCTACCCACATCTAGAAAATGGAAAAGAGAAAATGTTGCCCTTAGAAGTCTGGCACTACTAATAAAGCACGCGTTTCTTTTCATCATTGCGCCTATTGGACAAGAAATATTTTAGTGGGGCAACTGAAAACTCATATGTTTTCATTTTTTTTTCTCCCTTAACAGGCAATGTTATAAGAAAAACCTGTCATTGCATATATTTACCTTGCAGATTCAATGGAGGTACAACTGTCTTTGCACCCTGTGAGAGAAAAGACTTTGTTCCACCATCCAAAGATGATACACTAGAGCTCTGAAAAGAAGAAACCAGAAAAAAATTGTCATAACATATTTAAACAGTTTACCACCCCTCGTACTGTTTTAACTACTAGTACATGACAGGTTTCAAGTGTGATTTCTTCATTCAATGACAGTCAATGACACTAGTAACTCAGATTTCTTTCAAGTTCTCCCATAATGAAGTCAACAGAGTTACTCTGACTACAATGTTCAGTGTAGGACTTAGTATTAACAAGGCTGATCAACACCATGCTACAAGTTTAGCCAGTATTAATATTGTAAATGGACGCACAAAGAAACATGTAAAAAATTTATCTAAATACCTTCAGCAAGCTTGGAGATGACTGACTCTCTATAGAGATAAAACCATTGTGCAAATTAGCTTTGTGTTGTCCTTTAGTTGTTTTCCCATTCTTATTCTCCAGGGACGAACTTGACCTCTGATCGTAGGTCCTACTTTGTTTCTCTTTCTGTGTGCCTTTCAGTGAAGTAGTCTGTGGACGTTTGTGGTCTTCGATTGTCAATCTTCCACAAGCACTGGTTGCTTCTTCATCTGGACCAACTGAGCTGCAGCTGACTGTTCTTTGTCTAGCAGATTTGCTTCGACTATTTCTCCTGTGTTTGTTGGCTTTGTCAGTTGAGGAATGAGTCACCAGATCTGAGAAAGAAGTTGCTCTTTTCTTGTCCTTCATTTGATCATGCTCTTTAACAAAAGAAGGACTTTTTGAGAGTTCACTGGAGTGGAAGGTGTTCCAAGCAATGCTTGAACGCATCCAACGCCGTTTGTAACCATGGGGACTTGAGGAGTACTTTGACTCCTCTAAATTACTAGTGCTCTGCGAAACTTGTAAAGAGAGATTTGAAATGTCATTACTGAGTGACCGTTCTTCTTTAGCAGCTTTATCATATGGCAAGGCCTGTGATAAATTCATGGGTGTTTTTAATGTTTCCTTTATTAAGGCTTGTGTCTCTAGGCACTGTTTCTCAAAGTGATTTTGCTGTCGTGGTGTTAAGCAAGATGCCTTGACACAAACAAGTGCTGTCCCACACTCAATACACCAATTAGCAGCTTTACTGTTCACTTCACTGCACTTTGGGCAAATTTTTCCCATAACACTCCCTTGATTCTCTTCAAGTATTCTACCATCTCTTCTCTGATTGTAATCATCACATGACTGTACAACATTCTTATCACAAACATTGGTTTTATACATGTATGATGAATTCCCATTTAAATTCACTGCATCAGCTCTTTCTGCAAAACCATTATGCAAGTGATCTCCTAAGACTGTAGTTAATGCATTGCCTTCTTGTACATGTGCATTATTAACTTTTGCTACATCATTACTCCTGGTACTTTGCCTTGAATGCTTCACGTCTTTTGGAGTTCCTGAGCCTTCTATAAATTCAGTCAGTTCCATCAGAATTTTATCTTTGCTTCTTTTTGGTTTGATTTTGTTTTCTTTCTTCTTGCTAGCAGAAAGTACATTTGTCCTCTGACTTAACCTTTTATCAACAACAGGAGAATCTTGTTTTTTAACGACCTTCCGGTAGTGAACGTCATCACACTTAGAACCAAAACTCAACAAACTGCTCTCAGAATCTGATGTTTCAAAACCAGAATACAGTGGGCCATTTATCTGAGGCTCAGGACCATTAAAGACATGGGAACCTTCTTGCATATGAAAAACAGGGGAAAAAGAAGTTCTATGTTCCTTTGAAAAATATCCATCATCAACATCATCACTAATTTCTTTCCAGATCTTTCCACTTTCGTTAACAACGGAATGAAAGTGAGATTGCTTATAGCCACCACTGTCAGGTAATATGACAGGCTTAGTCTTGTCATGCAGTAATGGATCAAACCCATTTCTTGGAAGTTCCTCAGAAGACTGCATATCACAATTCTCTTTTCCAAGCCGGCGGTACATGTAAGTTGTAGAGTCTGAAACATTCTGATCTCTCCACGCTGGTTTCTTTAAATATGCATTTAAATCAACTTCTCCAGACTGTACAGCCTCTTTTAATCCCCAGAGCTCGAGTTTGATGTCTTCTTCGTCAGGTTCATGATCAGGAACACGTACCCGAGGAGACATGCACGGATATTTAACGCAATTGTCGTGATCACTGCCATTTATAAAATGAGACGGGACAGGTGTCTCTGCCAATTGCAACCCGTACATTTGGTCTGATGACTCTTGGGCTGCAAAGCCGTTGCTCCTTAATAACGAGAAATCAAATTCTTCGCTGCTGGAAGAGCTGTGAGCTTCGGAGGGTCGCGAGTGGTTCACAGCGATTTTCGTCAAAATATTGCTATTCTTGTCGTGCAATATATCCCCTTCTTCTTGCGATCTCAGTTTATCGTCGAAAAAAGCCAAACGCTTTTGGCGTAAGAACGACACATCTACTCTTGGAGTGACATTGGAGCTTGCTTCTCTTGTTAAAATCTCCTCTCGCCCGCCAGTTGTTCTGGACGAGTGAGCGCTGTTCGATTGTTTGGACGTGCGTTCGAACGATGTGTCATATTGTTCGAAAACATCTCTACCTCTTCCTGCATCGACAGACAACTGTCTTGGAGAATCAGTAGAGCCGGCACGTGCTGTATTTGTCAGATGCAAATTAAAGTCATCTATTTTCCCATTTTCTTCGCAAAAATCGTGGCTCCGGAGCATTCGCTCATCGTTTGAGCCGAAACGAGCTCTGACGACACCATAATTCCTGAGATCATCATTAGGAGTTGGAACAGAGTTTTGCATTCTCTTCACCCAATCTGAAGCCAATACTTTCACGTCCTCGATGCTGCTATCTTCCATTCAGACATATCTAGATGTTTACAGCGTAAATTCGTTACTTTTTCTCTAGCCTTCTGTGAGTAATTATTGAAAGTTGTCATGGTCACTGCGCATAATCTAGAGTAAAGGCCGCTGCCTGGTAAGCTGGAAACTAACCGAAGGCTCTAACATTGTTCTTGTATCTCGAGGGCAGGGTTAGTGTACATATTTAGCGAAAAACTGTGAAACACGCTGAATAATAATCTATTTTTTCTATATATAATTAGACACCAGAACAGTGTACAGTTCAGACAGGTCTATACTAGATCAGAAAGGCTTTCTCGTCTTAATGTATTCCTGCCAACCTGCCTGGCCAAATTTTTGTATACCAACCCTATGAAGTGTCCGTCATATTATAAAAATACAAAACTTTCGTTTATAACAAAACACATTTTGAACAGCAGTAAACAATTATAGCTTCCTTATCTACGGCTGTTCGGCCCGATACTAATATGACTGAACTGATCATCTCGCTGTAGGTGTTAAAATCGTTCAAATTTTCTGTACAAATGACAAAGAAACAATGATCTTAGAAATGATTTTTATGATTGAGAACTTTATCTTCAAACTAGGGTGTTCAAACAGTGAAAAAGCGTTAAAATGAGAAGTAAACAACAGGCTTATACTCACGTCGTGAAGAGTACGTGAAACCAGGCACTTTCCCGTAGTAGAAAGCAAGGCTACGGCGGGAAAGCCGTACTGGTACGCGCGTCATGGCGTCACCGGAAGTGATCTTCACCAGGGTGATAAAAAGCCGGGAGGTGAAACGTATAAGCGCCCTGATCTTTACTACCTGCCGCTGTGCTACAGCCTAGCCGTACCATATCTTAAGTCCCTAATATTTCCGGTTCCGGGATCATTTGCGGTCCAATAGGCCATTTCCGTGTTGGCTTTTGCCTCTGTGTCAAAACTAACCTGTGATCATGCGTTCTTTTTTCGGCTGTCAATTCGAGTCTTCGTGCGAAACCATTCATAGGAAAATGTGGTCCGCCTACAGGTTCAGTTTCTAGCAAATCAAACTCATTTCCATATGAAAGGTATTGCACGAAGACTTGTTTTGAAACAGAGGCACAAGGTAACTCGGGAATGCCCCATTTGGGGCTTATTTGCGGGCCTGTCAAACCCAACATGACGAGAAGCTGAAAACAATATTACCAAGACAATATTCAATTTTATTTTGAGCCTGAAATTAGCATTTTTTTACTCACACACAAGCATTGCTATTGTTTTAATTATAATTTTGTTTTTTCACACTTTTCTTAGTATATATTTTAACGTTTGCGCTTTCTATCTATTACTCGTTAAAGACTACAGACTGGTAGTCGAAAGCTCGTTTTAAACAAATTTTTAACCAGAGATCGTTTTTCTATTTTTCCAAA